GCTTAGAAATTAGCCTCTAATACTCATATTAATCACAATACAATATTGAAATGTAATGGAACATGAAATTACAAAGGAAATAATACCTAAACACCAATGATTTCGGAGGTTGAAGTTTCCTCCCCAAGAACTTGAAGAAAATACCAAGAACAAAAATATAAAAGCTAGGAATTAATCTATGGAATGGAATGTGTTTGCTTGATGCATTGAGGGCTTTATATAGGCTAAAGAAAGGCATCTTTTAGTCTATTCAAGCCCAACAATCGGGTGTGGAAGCAATATTTGATCAGATATGGAGGAAGATGAAGTTTTCCCATCAAGAATCACTTGCACGTTGCTGTGTTTTAGCAGAAAATCGTCCCAACCGGCGCCGGTTATGTTCCGACCGGCCCCGGTTCAAAACAGCCTCATTTTTGCGTGAAAAAACCTTCCGACCGGCGCCGGTTCTTGACTAACCGGCGCCGGTTGCTGCGCCCAACAATACACTTCATTTTTCTTCTTCCGAAATGGATCAAAAAGTGTCGGGTTTTGTCCCAGGATTTTGTGGATGTTACGCTATGAATTTGAACATGATTCCTTCACCAAAGTTGTAGATAATGAAGTCTTCTATCCACCAAAACTTGAATGACGTGAGTTTATTCATCCAATCAAACGTTATGGCTAAAACACGGAGAGGTATGCATCCTGAAATCCCACCAGCAACATCTGACTTTGTTGGTTGATCGAGTCTTGTTCCTTTCATATTTTGGCCATGACGTCTTCATAACATTTGTACCTTATTGAGTTAGCATTCACATGAAACTCGAATCGAGTGATTTCGAGTTCTATAGAATACGTTATACTCAAATTATGGGCAGAACGTCATTCTCTTGGTCTAAAAAGTCGTTCATCGTAATGTTTTATGCTCTAGCTCTCATTCTGGATATATTTGCCCGATTTCTCTTGCTTTCTTCAACAAATACTTATAAATACTTATGTTAAACACAAGTAAATATAACGGCTATCAACACATTTCATATTAGGAATGACATTTGGTAATGCAATAGAAGCTAGAAGTGCTATAACTAACTATTATGTTGCAGCGGGGTTAAACTTAAAATTGACTCAAATGAACCTCAAAGAATTAGAGTGAGGTGTATGAATGAAGTAAATTCTCCATTTAATCTATATATATCTAAAGATGGAAAAAAAATCATGGTTTATGATCCAACAAAATTGAGTAGAAAGAAAATTGTACAAACGTGCAGCTTATGTACTCTCACAGGTCATAACAGGACCATTTGTCAAAATGGGAGCAACCAGGTAAGAGCTACACTTGTTTATGATCTATTAGCATTACTAACTATATTTTGGTATTTCATATTTTATTTACATTTAGGTACCACTACCAGGGAAAACACCTACACTTAAACCCACATATGGCTCGTCCAAACCCGCATCTGCTACACTCAAATCTGCTTCTGTAGTTTCAGCTCCAAGAAGAAATGAAGACACTTTTTCTGCACATACAAATGATATGTACACTTCTGTAGTTGTTATGCACCAGTTGACTCGATGGGGTATGGTTGTTTTGTGGATGAAGATACTGGAAGAACAGTTCTCAATGTATTCTACTGCCATAATCTTTAAACTTGTGATTTTTATATTTGTGTGTGGTATACATAAACATTGTATTTATTGCCTCCATTTGTTTTTACAGCCTAGAATGCAATCTCAGACAATGATTGTAGATGGCGTGTCATAAACTCACATCAACCCTGATGCTCAGACAAAAATGGCGATACCTTGTGAAAGAACATTACGCAAAAAAACTTCCTGTTAAGCGAGCAACTGAAATCACAAGGAAAATTCGATTCTATGGATCTCGATATGATGTTAGAGAACCGTCAACACTTCCCTTTCAGTCTTCTGGCTTGAATTGGTTAGGAAATCCCGCGATTATGACAAGACAACTTGAAGCACATCGAGATAAAGTTGCCAATTAGCATGATTAGGTGTTATTTTTTTTGTTGAAACTGGTATTACTTTCACTAAAGTTGGATGCTATAAAGTTGGCCTTTTGTTGAAATGTTATTTTTTTGCCGTAATTTTTATGACAATAGCTGCTCTTTTTTGGGTCAACATATTTGATGTTTCTTTTTAGTACATTTGTTGTATCAACATTTTATGATAGGTTGTTTGAATCACCTATTTCATCCAGGGACTTGCTATTAAAGTCTTTGGGGTATGTTGGAATACCAGACTTTATATTTCAACTCTTTTTCATGGGTTGCAACTTTATTTGCCACTGTTTTGGACTCTTGGCGTGACTTTTACTTTGTAATTTCATACTCCGTATTTCAGTTAGTTTTTTTTTTTTGACAGCTTTCAGTTAGTTAAAATGATGTTTTATCCTCTTTCCATTTTTATTTAAGATATTTGCTCCCTAAAGAAAAGTTTATGGGCTTAAGATGCATAATATGACAACTCTAGGGATGTTTTTGCCCCTTACCTAAAAATTTCAGCAAAGCTGTTATCTATCCGTTTCATCGTAGTTAGATAAGGGGGAAATTGCCCTCTTTTAATGGAATATCAAGGTTATTGCACAAAAATTAAGTTTATGGGTTTATATGTCCTTTAGGGACAACTCTAGGGGGGGGGGGGGGGGGGTTGCCCCTTTTCCCTAAACTTTAACATTTGGGCTTATTCATCTTCTTCATTCTCTTTGGTTCAACTGTGAGGTACCATTTCTTTCATGCATATTGTTTGTGTGTGGCATAGGCCTGAAACCGGTTCGGTTCTTACTCAGAATTGGTGGAACCGTTAATAAATAATTTAACTAATGAAATCGGTTCGGTTCTTATGTAAAAAATCAAGAACCGATTTGGAACCGAACCAATACTAAACAGTTCGGTTCTTGCTTTTATCGATTCCTCGAATAATTTTTTCTCATCTAGTTAATTAGCACATTATTTGCTTCCTACCACATAAATATGTAAAAAAAAAATTCAAAACACAAGTACTAAAATTTTATTTAAAGTTTTAATCACTTCAAACATCAAAACTCAAACTTAACTAAGTGAACACTTAATAGAATAAAAGAATTTTTGGGTTCTCCAACCAAGCCTCTCTTTGTCCGTACGAAGCAAATGGCGTCCGATCTAGGGATTTTTTGTTGTTTGATTCCATATTTCAATTTTCATTTTTTTAACCCGGAAGGCATTTCAATTTTCATTCATTTAATAAGTAGAACATAAAATCTTTGTTATGTGGTAACAATGAAGGTTGGTCATCATCACAGTAGGAAGATAGGATGTCTACTTCGAGTCTTTCAAAACTTAAACAATACATTGAGTTTGCGTGTATAGATATAAAAACATTACAGTGTGTTTGCTAGTAGTATAATTTACAATAAATCTAATAGTTACAAACTTACAAATACCATGAAGATAGGGAAGTAAAAAATATGCAATCAACTACAGGTTATTTGAGTTATTTTATATTTATAAAGTTTATGGGATGTAACAAAACTTGATTTGTAAAAATGAGCTTAAATCTCATATGCAATATTGATTACTTTTGTTTTCGTTGGTTAAATTACAATAGTTGGCTAAATACCATTGATTGTACTACTATTGTTATTGTTTATATTATTGATATTACTATCACTACCACAATTACAATTTTTATTTTTATTTTTTACTAACGGTTCTGTGCACATATTTGTTATAGGAATCAAGAACCGAACCGTTAGTAACAACTAGGAACTGAACCATTAACAACGTAACTAATACCACATTTGTAGGAACTGAACCGGGTAATAACGGTTTGGTTCCAACTGGTTCTACGGTTCCTGGTTCCGAAATCCCACCCGTAGTGTGGCATATTCTAGCCCCTCACACCGAGAGCTCGTTTGGTAACACTGAAATCGGTTGAATCGATTGATTCTGCGGAATTTATGAAGTTTTACTAAATTAACTAAATTAACTGCATTTGTTGATTCTGCTAGTTTATAAAAAAAATTATATTACATTCATTTATAAAATAAAGAAAAAATTACATGAAAATAACTAAAATAATCATCTACTATAACTTCAGTCAAAACAACCAGAAAAGTAATTCCAATCTTACTTTTTCTTATTATTACACAATTCAGCACGCTAAACCAAATGTCACTTGTTTGGTGAAAAAGTTATCTGATGAGCCGAAAAACATGGTCACCAAATTTGTATATATATAATAATATGAGTGTTGTTCATGTCCGGAATTTCCTGACAAGAACGCCATCCGGCCTCCACCTTTAGGGCGGTTTTCGGTGGGTTTTTTTGCTGAATTTTTTGTGTGCATGTTCTTTATCAAGTCTAGTTTATCCATTTCAAATTTCAGCTAAAAATTCAACCGGGAAGACAGTCAAATTATTTTTAGAAGTTAACTGCGCCCTTTATATACATATAAAACACAGTTAACTTTCCAAAAATAATTTGACTATCTTCCCGATTGAATTTTTAGCTGAAATTTGGTATGGGTAAACTAGACTTGATGAAGAACATACATACAAAATTTCATAAAAAATACCACTGGGAACTTCCCTAAACGGAGGAGGCCGGAAGGGGTCCGGTCAGGAAATTCTGGATAGGAATATTCCTCTAATAATATATACAAATTACATTTAGTATATACAAAGACAACATTGAGTAAATACAAAGTATATAACTAAGAATGTTTTTAATTGGACGGATTTCAATTTCAAACCAGATCAGACTAGACTTGAGTAAAACTACTTACCAAATCAAACCATTTAAGAGTCCAAAAGTTGTAAAATACACATAGAACATGCATCTATTACAAAAGAGTGACAAGACAAGACCAATTTAGACCAAACTTAAATTTATCAAGATGTTTGATTTTTCCCATCTATCAAGAATATGGAGTAAGATAGGAAAGCACTCAAAGAGTTAGCTAATACGGAGTATTAAGATTATCCTAGACTTGCCATCATTGATACCAAATGAAAAATACATAAAATAATTTACTAAATTTTCTACAACCTTCCCATATTTCTACAACCTTCCCATATTTCAATTCTTATTACAGTTAAAAAAAAATCAATTTCGTTGATTACACAAGTCATGCCGATGGCCATTAATAACGCAGGTGGCCGTGTGCCACGTAGTTGTTGAGGATAATATTACGTGGTTAATGCTCCGTAAAATATTAAGACAACCAAAAATGCTAAATACGGAAGTACGGAGTAATATTAGAGAGAGGGAGAGCTTTTCCTAAAATTAAACTCAATTTACAGGTTATTTTGCGTTTAACCATGCCCTGATCTCCTCATTCTCTAATCCCTTTCTTTCTCTATTATTTTCAGAGATTTTTCTTACCGCTTTCCTTTCTGGGCCCTCTTTATCGGTCAACCATAATTGGGTTAGTTTTTCTTCATTTCAAAATGATCGACAAGGATTAGGCAAGATTCCATGTTTCGAAGTTATTTCCTAAATTTTGCATTTATCTTCGTGACATGTGCTTGTCTTTGGATAGGTGTATGTTTATCCCTGTTAATTTGCATGCATTAGGTTTTGCCGATGAATTATATTGTCTGGGTTTTTGTTAGATTGAATTCTTGATGATCAATGATCACGGTTTTCTGCTAAAATCGGGGACTTTTCTGTTTTCTTCTTTTTGTTGGGATTTATGTAGGGGTTGCGAATAATTTATTTCAGTTTCAGGCTGGGAAATACTATGGAGATCAATCAGTTTGTTGATGGTATCAAGGCGGGTTCTCCCAACCCCAATTGTAGAACTTCCCTTTTTCTGTCCCTTATTTCAAAATTTTCTCGTGTCTATGTCAGTTGCATATGGATTCTGAATATATAACTATCTAGAAGTTCATCCTAAACCTAAAGGCAATGGTTAAGGAAATAAAAGTAAATTTTTAATTCAAGATCATAGGAGTGTATTTTCTTGACATATGCAATGAATTTGTTGTCCAAGGGCTTGTTTGGTTTAGGGGTTAAGTAGGGAAGGGGAGGATTGATTATATATTTGTATTAATTGATCTCAATTTTTTACCATCCTGAAACCGTCGCTCCGTGCTAAACATGGTAGGGTTGCATACATCCGACCCCCTTACCCCACCATCATAGGTGGGAGCTTTTGTGGCACTGGAGTAATGATGACGATGATGAATGGATCTCTATTTTTTTGAAGGGGAGCCTTGGCTCACTGGTTACGGTGTCTCTCGGTCCGACAGTCCGAGAGGTCACGGGTTCAAATCTAGGGAGCAGCCTCTTGTCGTAATGACAAGAAAGGCTTACTCCTTGTGGTGGGGTCCATCCCCTGACCCTCGCCCCGTAGGGATGTCAATGTGCACCGGGTGCCCATTAATCAATCCCTAGTTTTTAGTCTTGGGCTACAAATAGCTACAAGTATATGTTTATTTGCATAATGCATTTGTAATATTCTATATAAAGTTTCGTCTTTATTTTCTTTCCAACCATCATTCCTACCATCTAAATATAAGAATCAGTTAGAAAATGAATATCAACCCTCCCCTCCAAAATCCCCAACCCATATAAGCCCCAAGGATTATTAAATTTGGCTTAAAATGTCTTTTTGTGGGTGATCAGTTTATTCATAAATTCACTAAAAATGCGACGTTCCTGAAATGAGCTATAAATAGGGTTCAGAATGTTAATTAAAGCAATTCAAAATTTATACTTCCGCAAAGTTGTGTGTAAGAATATTGAGGATATAGTGATATACCCACCTCAATAAAATTTAGCAGCTTCCCTTTCATTTTACTGCCTTGCAATCTTATGTGAGGATAGTATTTCTAAACAAGCATCTCCATGTCAAAACTATTACTTTGAGATAGTAGGATAACATAAGTTTGCTTTCACATCCCAATTGGTGGCTGTATGTTGAGATGTGATTGTTATAGCTTCCTAAATGTGAGGATGGTTAAAGAAAGAACCAAACATAGTACTTTCCCTCATGGATTTTGTCTTTGTTCCTCGTGGTTTGTGACTTTGTTCCTGATCACACTTCTGGGTCTTACTTTTATTATATTGCTACATTGGTGTTTGGGGCTTCCATTTTCACTTTCCATCAGTTGTGGTCAGCGTAGTCTTGTACTCTTGTTTTCTGATGGAAGAAATATGAAGGGGATTTAGATTTCGCACCCCACTTTTTCATCCAAATTTGAGTTTGTGACTGATTTGTTAGATCATTAATATTTCAACACCTCTGTTGGCCAAAGCCGTTAGTAGATGTTAACATCTGCTGAGTTTGCATCCCTAAAGATGGTTCCAATTTGTAGTATGCACCCAACAAAAATTCCAACCTGTCACCCCATATTAATTTTTTTTAACAATTCTTTCTGATTGTGGGGTGTAAGTATCAATGATTTTAAAATTAGGTGTAAACTCAAATTTTGATGAGTGGATACAAACTCCAATTTCCCTTAATATGAATTTCAAAATAGTGGGTTGACTTTCTTCTTGTCATTGAATCTTTCATATATGCAGGAGGGCGTCATCTAAAACAAATTATTTATCAACATGGGACAAAGGAATACACCATATAGTAGTCTTGTGGTCGATTTGGAAGCTGATCAAGGAGGACAAATCCAATCTTATGGGACCTTAACATCTTTTCCACAACCAAATGTCCATTCAGTATTACCAGTTGCCAGTAATGTCTATCTGCATCCTCTGCCAGACTATAATGACAACAGCCCATTGTTTTATGGTATGACACAGCACAATAGATCAGTTCATCCGCTGCCCATTCCAAATCTTGACCTTGCCCTTGCCTCATCTTCTATTCATCATAATCCTTACATGCCTCCAACTGCTGCAATCAGAGACTTCTCAATCCCTTTCAATCACAGAACACATGACCACAGTTCATTTTCAAACAATCCTGGCATGGCTGGAATTCAGACTGCTACTCATGGAACCATAGGCTCGTTCAAGATTAAGAATGCTGTGGGTTCTAGTTCTTCTGATGCCCCACTAATTGCAAGGGCACATGAATCCAATGCTTCTTTGATGGATTCTTCGCCGCTTATGCTACCTGCTGATCATGGTGATTCTTCATTGGTTGTCAATGATGGGTCCCACATAAGTTTTAGGAACATGGCTTTTGTAAATGGTCCAGATTCTGTAGCAGCCCATCACAGCAATCATTTTGCTCAAGGAAACCATGTGAGTTCTATGCAGCTGAGTAATAATCCTTGGTCAGACATGCGATTCAACAGAAATAGTTGTGAGCTTGAACCTTGGTCATGGAATCAAGCTGCTGTTCCTTTTCCTTACGTGCATGGTAATTTCTACTGCTCGTCGATGTTTATAGTTTTGAACGTGTGATCTTTTATATCATGCACTTTATCTATTTATTTGATAGGTGGAGTAGTTCAAGACTTCAAGATCTTCGTTATGTTATTTCATATTTTGCCGATGTGGACTATGTAACACCCATTCCCGACGAGAGACCGAAATGTAGATCATGCAATTTGTTTTTTTGTTTCATACACCAGTCCACACACTCTCACGGTTCGATTCATTGTCTGAACATTTTTTTCATAAGGGCATCAGGGCATGTACTCTCACTGCCTGATCGAAGTTGATGGAACCGTTCATTTTTCGTAGCCCAATTATGGTTATCAATTGAAGTTGGATCTTATACTATAATATAGGATGGAGTTATATTCTAAAAGATCAATTTGGTAAGAGTTACATAACTTTCAGCCGATGTACACCAATTTCTTCATCAGTTATTTTCCTTTCGTATATTACAGGACGTGCAGTTGGTCCTACCATTGAGGCTGGGAACACGGGAATACAAAGTTACCAAGTAAGAGGGGGCAATGGGAGTTTGACCAACTTTATGCATCCTCCCATTCCTCTAGAAGGGCACTCAAATGTTCATCACCTACCGCAAGCTACACAAGGAATGAGATGCCATAATACTAATTTCCCTCCATTAATTTCAGTATCATCAAGCAGGCACATTACACATGCACCATCAAGCAGCAACTTGAATTATTTATCTGGTTTTGTAGAAATGAGACCTACGTATGTGGGACCTTTACAACCAGCTGGTGTTAGACTGTACAGATCTTCCCGTAGAAACTATTCGAATTACATGCCAAATCACAACATACCTAACATGAGGGTTATGCCCGAAGATGTAATGTGTCCCATTGATATATTTGCCATGAGTTTTTCATATATTATACTCCCTCCGTATTTAAAAGATCTCTACACTAGGGATTGGCACAATATTTAAGGGGAAAATAGTAGGGGTTATGATTAGTGTAGAAAAAGTAGGAGAGAATGTGGAAAAGTAGGAAAGAGAAGATAAAAAGTAGAAAAAGTTAGGGTAGTTAGAGTATTTTTAAAGGAAAAACTTACCAAAAGGGAAAGTGTATCAAACTTTTAAATACATCCAAAAAAGGAAAAAAGGAAAGTGTAGGGAAATTTTAAATACGGAGGGAGTAATATTTTTGACACATACCTGTTTGTCTTACTTGATGAAGCATAAATATGAGAATGATCATCCTGGGTGGTTCCTTGTAGGGAGTGGCAATGCTAGAAATTCCTGGCTACTATAATGGCATGGGGGAGTCTGGTGATCAGCACAGAGATATGCGTATGGATATAGATCACATGTCCTACGAGGTAAAGAAAAAGCATTGGTTTTCTAACTTTCTATGCAGTTACTACTTGTCGATTAATGATAATGGAAAGCAACATGGTGGATTGATTATCTTCCAGGAGCTTCTTGCGCTGGGTGAGCACATTGGCAGTGTAACTACTGGGTTGTCAGAAGAAATGATTACAAGGCACTTGAAAACAAAACCATTCAGCTCATCAAAAGCTTTATCTGTTTCTAAGGCTACAGAATGTTTGGATCAAAATATGGATTTATGTGTCATATGCCAGGTACTCCCTCCTTGTGTCCTCAAAATGTAAGGCACCTTTAGGAGCCAATCATCTTAATTAATTAGGACATGTTCTTCGTTGACTTAATTGAGTCTTATACCATATTTAAACAGGTCAAATGAGCATAACATAATACTACGTAAATACGTAATAAATAGACATTATCAATCCACACAAGTGCAGGCTAGACTCGACTTAATTATTTGTGAGCATTTGATACTAGCAATTTTTACAGGAATTGGAACTTCATAATTGTCTTATAAGGCATTGTTTAATTCCAGTGTTGAACACGGCCAAGGAAGTTAGCAGTTACTTAGCACCTTTTTTTCTTTTCATGTTATGTTCTTGAACACGCTGTTCACTCATTTCAGAACGATTACAAGGACCAAGAGAATATTGGAACGGTCGAGTGTGGGCATGCATATCATGTACATTGCATAAAGAAGTGGCTGATTGTGAAGAATAGTTGCCCCATCTGCAAATTAACAGCATTACCAATGGAACCTAAGGATCTATGAAATACTGTTAACAAATGGTGGAACTTTTGTATTTAATGTATTTATTACTTCCTACCAGGAAACTTTTTTTTAGTTTTTTTTCAAATCGCACTATATCAACAATGTGTATATTATACTTTTTGCCATCTAGCAGGCAAAAGTTGTTTTTTGTAAACTACCATTTTACCAGGCTATATTAGTGTCTCACCTGGAACAGTAATACCACTGGATTTTTGTTTTTAATAGCTGTAAGGAAACAGTGTAAATTCAATCAACATAGTAGGGACTACTCGACTAGGGAAATTGATATTGAGGGGCGATAATTTAAACAAAAAAATCTAGGCGATTATTATTATTAGTTATAACCTTAATATAATACGGAGTAGTAATTAAATGAAGCATTATAATAGAAGAAGAGACAAATATATTATTACAAAGTAGTTAAAGTTAGTACCTTAGAATTGTACCCAACGCTTCTTCAAAGAGATAAATTCCTCAATCACGGCTTTTTAGTCAAAAGTTTTAGCAATTTCTCTTTCAATATACAATAAGGTTGTCTGCAACATACTCATCCTCCATTTTATTGCGAAGCCTTGTTTTTATAATTTTCATTGCGGAAAAAGTCCTTTCGGTTGTTGCTGTCGAACCGGTAGAGTCAACAAAAGTCGGATCAATTTATCAACAAGCTAAGAAAGTACACTTTTGACATCTCCGTCTCCGCTAATCTTTGACAAAGTTCACCCATTGTAGAAAAATTCGCCAACTTTGGATGGTTTAGAACATTGAGCTTATAATGTTGCAATTGAAACCTCAAGCTCACCTTCTCCTGCTCAATAAAATCAAAGAGGTAATATTTATCCACTAAAGAACAGATATCATCAATGTTAAAAGACTTATATGAGTCCTTAGGATCCAAAGCACCACTAAGAGTAAGAAGATCCATTATCTGTTCACCGCATAAGGATGTTCAATATCAAACCCTTCTTGATCATGGCGTTTGCATTTTACCGCATAAGGAGACTTCATATTAGGAACTTCAATTTCATGCTTTGTGCAAAACTCTTTAACAATTTCTAAGAAGTTATCCCATCCACCCTCCCTTAACTTTTGGATCAACATTTTGGTGCTTGACACCAAATGCATAGCATTTACTATGTCTTGGCACTTCTTCTGTATATGCTGACATAGAAGATCTGTAATGTCCATAATTTCTTTAATTCATCACTTCGTTTGCAAGAAGAATTAGTCACATTAATAATAAAGACTGAATCGATGAAAAAATTGTGCACATATTTCACCTCTCTAGAAGCAGCAACCAATGCTAATTGCAACTGATGTGCTAAGCAATGAACATAGTAGGCATAAGGACAATCATTTAAAAATAATCGATCTTTCCGTTTCTTTCTTCTAGGTGCGCATGTTTTTCATTAGTTTGGTCTGGGCGGTGGGCTGGGATTAGATTTTGGGGTGGGTTAATGGGGAATAAATTTTGGAGTGAGTTGATATAATATTACTTGTAAAATTTCTATTTTTTAGGCTCTTAAACAATTGGGTTTCTACGAGTGGGCTATGCTTTGGGGGAGAAAATATTTTTTGGGGGGGTTCAAAATTTTTCTTGGAGGGGCGAGAATTAAATGTTGGAGGGGTAAAAATAAAAATTTTGTATATATATATATACTAAAAAAAAATTGTTGGGGGGGCGGCAGCTCCCCTGGGTCTGTACTACGGTCCGCCCCTGAAAGGAGGGGTAGTACTGTAGGTTTAGTACTCCCAATTTATATACCCTCCATTCCCTTGTATCTTAAATTTTTATTTAATGCTATTTTAAGAAAAGCCTCCTTAGCTTAAGACAAAAGGCTGGAGTAAATCAATAAATAAGAGTAGTAGGGGGGATACTGTGCAATTTTAATGCCAATTTCCGTTTTGTAGTTACTAGCTCCATTTTAAATATAACATGTTGAAAGTTTACATTATTTGCATATTCGCGTGTATGACTTTGAGTACATTTTATTTATTTATGTAATAGAATATTATATTTTGAAAGATATTTTTAAGTTCTCATTTTAAGTCTTCAAAATTGGGTTTCTCTTAATTTTTACTAATTGTGATTCAAGCATAGTGATGGTCATTAGCTATTTCTTCGCAATACCTGAGAGTCCTAGGGATGGACCCGGGCCGGTTCCGGTTCGGGCCTGAGCCCAGCCGGGCCTTTGTTTGGGAAGAAGGGAACCGGAACCGGCCCGGGTGGCTGGCGGTTCCGGGTCGGGCCGGGCCACCCGGCTGTTTGCCGGTCCGGTTCCGGGCTTTTTAATATTTTTGTTGATTCTTGAATTGAAATACACAATAATATAAAAAAATTCAAGTATATTTATTTCGTACAATTGAAATTTAATAAATGAAATAAATTTTGTAATAAATAATCTCCGCCTTCGGTTGTTTCCTCCATAAAGTGGCGGGTGAGAGCGATGCTCATTTCTTGAGTTCTTCATTGTGCCTTCAACCAATCGTGGAAGCAAACAAGCATCTCAAGAGAGCTCGGACTCAATCTCGTTCTATAATCGGTAACGACGTTGTCGGCCACACTAAATTCTTGTTCCACGGCAACTGTTGATATCAGCATTGCTAGCACTTGCTTAGCCATCTTTGATAAAATCGGGAACGTTTTTTCATTCTCCTTCCAACACTTAAGAACGTCGAAGTCATCCCCAACTTCATAATCAACATTCAATGTTAGATACAAGAAAGCTCGTTAACTGAGCTTTGTTCATTAGCGGGAGTTGCTTTACTTTTTTCATAAGTGAACCAAATGTAGCTTTTAAAAGTGATTTTCCTTTAGATGAAGAAGATGTTCGTGGCAGGGGAGGGGGTGCATTACCATATTGTGCATAAAATTCATTATACAATTGATGAAATAAATTACTAACCTCGTTGAATTCTTGTTTAGGGTCGGTCTATGGGATTATCATCGAACTCTTGAGTTGGAAAAAAGAAGAAGCATAATAGTAATCTATACAATTTCCCAAGTAAGCAAGTTTATAACGAGGATCAAGAATAAATGCAATACCATATATATGCGGAATATGTGAATAATATTTTAAAAACTTTTGTTTCATGAAATCACAAAAATAACTAATGTAAGCGGCATTGGCAAATTCACAAAAAGCGCCGGCGAGATTAACAGCTTCAACAAAGAATTCGTTTGTGGTAGGTTTATAAACATGACTAAAAGTTTGAGTTGCATTATTAAAATAATATGCCAAAACATTCACAGTTTTTTCTCAAGTGTCGATGTCAGCCGGGTTTATAATATAGTTACAAGATTGTCTTAAAAAAGCAGATTTTTATATCTAATAAGTACTTTAATTAAGTTATAAGTATTATTCCAACTAATAGACAAATCTTTAGGAAAAGCACAATAATTGACACGTATATCCTTCAAATATTGCTGCCATTGCATTTTTAGTGGAGTATTAGCCCAAATCAATTTAATTCCCCCTTCATTACCTCCAAAGCATTTCCTAATGCCGCTAGCCCATCTTGTACACACATATTTAGAATATGACATGCATAACGTTGATGAAAAAACATATCCATCAATATAGAATCACCACACAATTCACGCAATCTAGATATAGTAGCAGTACAATATTATTACTAGCATTATCAAAATCTACAGCAAACACCTTATCAATCAAATTATACTCAATTAAAATATGTTCAATGAGAAGATAAATATTATCAGCAGTGTGTCAATCATTAAATTCACAAAAAGCAAGAACATGTTTATGCATATTCCAATCATCATCAATATAATGTGCAGTAAGACCCAAATACTATAAATGATGATAAGTATCCTCCCATATAATCGCTACAAATACTAACACATCCATCAAAGTTTGCGAAAAATGTTTATAATTTTTCTTTTTCCAAGTTATATTGCCTTATAATTTCTTTTTTAATCGTTTTGTGACTATAATTTCTAAATTGAGGATTTAAAGTACCTTGAACATAATCTCTTAAAGCAAGACTTTGGGAAAAAATATAAGGTAAATTTTCTTCAACAATTAAATGAGACATACCAGTCAAATGTTTTTTATCATCATAGGAGAAATTACCAAATGGTTGAGAATTTGCAAACCTCGATATTTGTGTTTGCTTCCCCTTGCCTTTGTCTATTTTCACATACCCCACTAAGTGCGCGGACTTAAGATGCCTTTTCAGACTCCCGTATCCGCCAGAAGTTCCCTAGCTATACTCTTTGTTGCAATGATTGCAGTTTGCGTACCATTTATCGGTTTTTTTGTCTTTCCTTTTTATAAAATTGTTTTCAATAATAGGAGATTTAGATTTCTTACCAATTTGGGATGAACCGCCCTCGTCCTCCAACTCTTGCTCATCATCCGGGGTGCCGTCGCCCGCCCCCCCTCGTCCTCCTCCGCATCCTCATCCTCGAGCTCATCTTCGTCAATGATTGTCGGGAATTGTTGTTCTTGTGCAAAGAGTGGATCATTTTGGAACAATAGGTTATGTAGTTGGTCGTCAGACATTGCCACATCATCTCTCCGTTGGTAATCCGTTTCAAAATCATCTCGACTTTGAAAAGAAGACCCGGCCCGCGCCCTTTGCGTGAACTGGGATGAGTCGTCGCAATCTCCCTCTTCCGGTTGCGTTGGAGATTACCCATATCTATAGAATGTCTGCCACGGTCCATCTTTAAAATTGAACAAATATTAAATTATATCAAATATTTCATACGAGTACAATAGTAATAATAAAATGTGACTAAGAAAATTATAGAAAATTCGAACTAAAATATGAGTATATCAAATGTAACAATTTTTTTCCTTGAATTTTTTTTTAACTACTTCTAATTAATACTTCAATGAGAAATGTACCAATTAAATAATATTAATATGAGAAATGTAACAAGTAACTAGTTTTTTTCTTTAAAGAGAAATGTAACAATTAACTAGTGTTTTTTTTTTACTTTAATGGGAAATGTACCAATTAACTAATATTAATATGACAAATGTAACAATTAACTAGTTTTTTTTACTTTAAAAAGAAATGTAGAGAAATGTAACAATTAACTAGTTTTTTTTACTTTAAAGAAAAATGTAGAGAAATGTAATAATTGACTAGTTTTGTTACTTTAATGAGAAATGTACCAATTAACTAATATTAATATGAGAAATGTAACAATTAACTAGTTTTTTTTTTTCTTTAAAGAGAAATGTAGATAAATGTAACAATTAACTAGTTTTTTTTTTTACTTTAATGAGAAATGTACCAATTAACTAATAAGAAAATGAGAAATGTAACAATTAACTACTTTTTTTAGTTTAAAGATAAATGTAGAGAAATTAACTAATATTAATACGAGAAATGTAACAAGTAACTAGTTTTTTTCCTTTAAAGAGAAATGTAACAATTAACTAATTTAATAGGAAAATGAGAAATGTAACAATTAACTAGTTTTATAAAATGTATGAATGTGTATAACTATATATACTATATATAATGTGTAAATATATTATAAATAATATATAATATAATGTTTATCGTATATAATATATAAGTATATATATTACTATAAGATGAGTAATACACTTATACTTAATACTTTAATATATATAAGTATATATTAACTAAATGTAATATGTAAATATAAGTAAATAACAATAGTATAGATAATAACTAAATATCAAGTAAATATGAATGTGTATAAGTATATATAGTATATATAATGTGTAAATATATTATAAGTAATATATAATATAATGTTTATAGTATATAATAAATAAGTATATTACTATAAGATGAGTAATACACTTATACTAAATACTTTAATATATATATTATATATTAAGTAGTTATTAACTAAATGTAATATGTAAATATAAGTAAATAACAATAAGTATAGATAATAACTAAATATCAAGTAAATATTAAGTAGATAACAAGTATATATTAAGTAGATAATAAATATTAGTAATATAATATATGTATTTATAAGTAGATAATTAACATATAAGTGCATATAATAATTATATAAACAATATATATGTACAGAAAATTGGAGAAGATGAAGATGATTGAATATGAGAGAATAGAGAATTAGAAGAAGAGGTGTAAAAAATGTATAGAAAATAGGAGTATTGTAGAAGAAGAGGTGTAAAAAATGTATAGAAAATAGGAGTATTGTAACACTTGAGATTTAATATAAACGGATTAATAGTACTACTCATACCAATAAGATGCATCTCCTTTTAAGAGAGCTCATCACCTAAGAACTCCAAAGTTAAGCGTGCTTGCACGGGAGTAGTCTTAGGATGGGTGACCCCCTAGGAAGTTTCTCAGGGCGCGCACGAGTGAGGACAAAGTACGCGGAAAAGGCTAGTGGCGGTTTGTGGGGACAGTACTAGAGGTCTGGAGTAACTACCTCGGGTCCTGCGGGGCCGGGGTGTTACAAGTATAAATAGTTTTTTTTTGTATTCCCCACCCCCGGACCCCCCTCCTAGGCCTCCAACGGCTATAGAGCCGTTTGGGAACAGTCCCAACGGCTAGGAGGGCTTAAATATTAAAAAAAAAAGTGACCGTTATGGTCCGGGCCGGTTCATCATTTTTAAGGCCCGAGCCCGCACCGCTATATGACCGGGTCGGTTGGCCCGAACCGGCACCCAGACCAGTTCCTGGGCCGGGCCGTGTACAAACAGTACCGGTCCGGGATGGTTCCGGGCCGGTTGGCCCGACCCAAGTCCACCCCTACCTAAGACTCTTAATGGCCATAAACATTGACAGAGAAAAAACACGAATATGAGGGCTTATACAGATTCAAAACCCGCTTGGCAACATTGTAACATTGAAATTGTCTGAAATGGTTGATTCACAAAAATAATCCTTACATTTAGGAATTATAGAATAATAATCTCTATTGAGAGTGTTCATAAAAATAATCTAAACTAACAATAGTGTCCACAAGAATAAATTGAAGTAAATTTAAATTAATGATCATTTTATTCATTTAGTACTCTCAAAGTCTCAATCCCCTATACCTACTTTCCACATATGGCAGAAATGACGTTTGAAAGTAAACGAGTTTTGGTTTAAAATCACTCCGATAAGAAGAACTGGGAAGAGAAAAGTGAGAGTGGGAGTATTAAACACGAGCATTACTTTGAATTTATCATAATTTATTCTTGTGGACACTATTATTAGTTTACAAACATAGCACGAGTATGAATTATTATTATGAAATATGAAATCCCTAAAAGTAGGACTCTTTATAAGATGGTTTACTAGCACGATATTATACAATTGCAATATTATACTTCATATATTTTAAGGGTGGAATCGGTCCGGTCTAGATCGGATGTTTGCTAAACCCGGAAATTACCCGTAAGGTCTCGAGTTATGAAAATTAGATACCCGAATAACGCCCATTATATTCGATTCGAGTCGGGGTTTTGGTAACATGGGCTCGGTCCGAGTTCGGGTTAGGCCGGTTAAAGCCCAAACATGAAATTATCTCATTGTCCTTTTATATTCAAACCGAAAATACTAACTCAATTATTAGGTTGTTTTCTTTTGGACTGTTTTCAGTCTCAGACCAGTCCAGACCAGACCAGACTTGCGTAGTTATAAAATACGCAAAGACCTGGCATGCATTTACCAGATCAGATCAGGCCAGATCAGACCAGACCAACAAATTTCAGTCCAAAAGAAAACATCCTTAGTCTCCAAAATCAACACCAATTCAAATCCAAAGAAGATAATTATCTTAATATTTTATTTAAGATGCATATAAATAATATAGGTTTTCTAAAAATATTACGAAATAAAACTTATGAATAATAATGTGACTAAAGTTACTATCCATATATTTTCATGGTCATTACAGTATACAATTGAACATATTAGTAATCACTAAAAGTTACTAGGTCATTTTTTCATCCACCATGATTATAATCATATATTAGGAATTATTTATGAGTCCTTTTCTTGTCCAGCCGGCCTGACGGGAACCGCCATCCGGTCGAGGGCATTTCAGGTACTTCCAGGTGGAATTTTTTGATGAAATGTTTTGAGCATGTTCTTCATGAAGTCTAGTTTATCCATACCAAATTTCAGATCAAAATTCGATCGGGAAGGCATTCAAATAATTTTTTGAAGTTGATTGCGTCAAAGTATTCATATAAAAACCCAGTCAACTTCAAAAAATTATTTGAATGTCTTCCCGATCGAATTTTGAGCTGAAATTTGGTATGGATAAACTAGACTTGATGAAGAAGATGCCCAAAAAATTTCATCAAAAACTTCCACCGGGAAGTGCCCGAAATGCCCTCGGCCGGACGGCGGTTCCCGTCAGGCCGGCTGGACATGAAAAGTCCTCTATACTATGTCGATTTTATATTAAAGCTAATTGTTTCCCACCCTTATATATTTTAATAGTCTATACTATTATATAATTGTAATAATACAAATAAATACTATTTGCATTGGTAAGTTATTGAATAATTACATAATAATGATCAAAGTAAAAAAGTTGTTTACAAAAAAAAAAAAGATCTTTTAGGTGTATTGACATACTCCCTCCATCCTCTTTTAAATGTCCCGGAAGAGGGTGACACGAGTTTTAAGAAAAGTGTGTTTGTGTGGTTGATATTAATTGATAAAATAAGAATGATTTTGGGTCACGCAAACTTTACCAAATAAGGTATGAAACAATTTGTTGAGTTTAATCCAACACGATATAGTAAATATATGTATAAATGTGTATGAACAACTCAGTTTTTACGTGGAAACCCGAAAGGGAGAAAACCACGGGACTTTTTAGGCTAATGTCCAAGCCCTCTCAATTCTCATTAGGCTCTCCTCACCATTACATTATACAAGCTTGAAGCTCCCATTAATGGAGTATTATCTAATCTAGAGAAGAAGAAGCATGAAGAAGGAGGAAAAAGGTCCTTTACATGGAGGCTAAGCTCCGTATTTATAGGGGAGGGGAAGGGGAGGCTCTCCACCCTAATGGGCCGCATGGGCCGAAGTGGGCCTGGTGGTCAAAGTGGGCCGGATGGGCCGAAATGGGCCTAGCTGCTCGGGCTCCATACTGGATAATGTCTTGGGCTCCTGAACAGTAATAGGCCGGGATAATATATCCCAACACAAGTCCCCCAGTTTCTTGAGTAGTGAGCGTGCGAATCTGCTCGAGAAAGTATACTCTTGCCTGCGCTCTTCCTCTGTCTTGCTGGAAATTGCGTCTTCGAATAATCATAATATACGAGTGGGTGTCTGCACTCCTGAATGTAATCTGCCGGTGAGGCACCCCCCTTCCCGACAGGGTCGGGCGAAGGGTGCTCCTCCACGGGCACACTCCGCCTGAATGCATCAGGCGGGAGTAAAGCACTCTGACTCGAGCTTTCCAATCGGAGAAGCTTAGAAGTCCATGCATCTATAAACCGATGTCGCGGTACTGTCAAAACATGATGCACGTGTGTATGTATGAATGTATGAGGTATGATGCATGAATGCATGAATGCATGTAATGTAATGTATGGGTGCAATGTATGAGAGAAGGAATGTGAGATGTGATAGAAAGCGGTGGCTCTCATCGATAAACCGGGCATGTCAGCGCCGAGAGGCAGATGTGCTGCATAAGAGACGTTCGTCGCCATCCTGGAAGGGATGGGCGACCCTAACGTGAGCCAGACACGATGGCGCTGGGGCGCTGATCGTGCTGCATAAGAGACGTTCGTCGCCATCCTGAAAGGGATGGGCGACCCTAACGTGAGCCAGACACGATGGCGCTGGGGCGCTGATCGTGCTGCATAAGAGACGTTCGTCGCCATCCTGAAAGGGATGGGCGACCCTAACGTGAGCCAGACACGATGGCGCTGGGGCGCTGATCGTGCTGCATAAGAGACGTTCGTCGCCATCCTGAAAGGGATGGGCGACCCTAACGTGAGCCAGACACGATGGCGCTGGGGCACTGATCGTGCTGCATAAGAGACGTTCGTCGCCATCCTGAAAGGGATGGGCGACCCTAACGTGAGCCAGACACGATGGCGCTGGGGCACTGATCGTGCTGCATAAGAGACGTTCGTCGCCATCCTGAAAGGGATGGGCGACCCTAACGTGAGCCAGACACGATGGCGCTGGGGCACTGATCGTGCTGCATAAGAGACGTTCGTCGCCATCCTGAAAGGGATGGGCGACCCTAACGTGAGCCAGACACGATGGCGCTGGGGCGCTGAGCGTGCTGCATAAGAGACGTTCGTCGCCATCCTGAAAGGGATGGGCGACCCTAACGTGAGCCAGACACGATGGCGCTGGGGCACTGATCGTGCTGCATAAGAGACGTTCGTCGCCATCCTGAAAGGGGATGGGGCGATCCGAACGTGAAAGAGACACGATGGCGCTGAGAAGCCGATCGTGCTACATAAGACGGTCGTCGCCATCCTGGAGGGAATGGGCGAGCCGAACCGTGAAGCCAGGTACGATGGCGCTGAGGGGCCGATCGTACTGCATAAGACGTTCGTCGCCATCCTGGAGGGAATGGGGCGATCCGAACGTGAAAGAGACACGATGGCGCTGAGAAGCCGATCGTGCTACATAAGACGGTCGTCGCCATCCTGGAGGGAATGGGCGAGCCGAACCGTGAAGCCAGGTACGATGGCGCTGAGGGGTCGATCGTACTGCATAAGACGTTCGTCGCCATCCTGGAGGGAATGGGGCGATCCGAACGTGAAAGAGACACGATGGCGCTGAGAAGCCGATCGTGCTACATAAGACGGTCGTCGCCATCCTGGAGGGAATGGGCGAGCCGAACCGTGAAGCCAGGTACGATGGCGCTGAGGGGCCGATCGTACTGCATAAGACGTTCGTCGCCATCCTGGAGGGAATGGGGCGATCCGAACGTGAAAGAGACACGATGGCGCTGAGAAGCCGATCGTGCTACATAAGACGGTCGTCGCCATCCTGGAGGGAATGGGCGAGCCGAACCGTGAAGCCAGGTACGATGGCGCTGAGGGGCCGATCGTACTACATAAGACGTTCGTCGCCATCCTGGAGGGAATGGGGCGATCCGAACGTGAAAGAGACACGATGGCGCTGAGAAGCCGATCGTGCTACATAAGACGGTCGTCGCCATCCTGGAGGGAATGGGCGAGCCGAACCGTGAAGCCAGGTACGATGGCGCTGAGGGGCCGATCGTACTGCATAAGACGTTCGTCGCCATCCTGGAGGGAATGGGGCGATCCGAACGTGAAAGAGACACGATGGCGCTGAGAAGCCGATCGTGCTACATAAGACGGTCGTCGCCATCCTGGAGGGAATGGGCGAGCCGAACCGTGAAGCCAGGCACGATGGCGCTGAGGGGCCGATCGTACTGCATAAGACGTTCGTCGCCATCCTGGAGGGAATGGGGCGATCCGAACGTGAAAGAGACACGATGGCGCTGAGAAGCCGGTCGTGCTACATTAGACGGTCGTCGCCGTCCTGGAGGGAATGGGCGAGCCGAACCGTGAAGCCAGGTACGATGGCGCTGAGGGGCCGATCGTACTGCATAAGACGTTCGTCGCCATCCTGGAGGGAATGGGGCGATCCGAACGTGAAAGAGACACGATGGCGCTGAGAAGCCGATCGTGCTACATAAGACGGTCGTCGCCATCCTGGAGGGAATGGGCGAGCCGAACCGTGAAGCCAGGTACGGTGGCGCTGAGGGGCCGATCGTACTGCATAAGACGGTCGTCGCCATCCTGGAAGGGAATGGGCGAGACGAACCGTGAGTCTGGACACGATGGCGCTGGGGCGCCGATCGTGATACAGAAAAATAGTGATGATCATCTCATGGCCCTCGGCCTGTCGGTGAGTGGTAATCGTCCCACGGCCCTCGGCCGTGCTGGTGATGTGTCAAGTCTCTCTCCTGTTTGGCTGTGAGAAGCCGATCGTCTGCCAGGACTCCATCCGGGAAGGAATGGTGAGCCTGAAATAAATCTGGGCGATGTCCCTTCTACCTGATCTGGGGGGCTAATCGTCGTTCGAGGCAAAAGAAAACCTGATGTTAGCCGATCGTCGTCGGCCACTTCATTCTTCGTACTCAAGTTTTGTAATTATTCTTTACATATGTTTTTCAGTTTGTACTTCCCGGCCAATATCGCCGAGGGATAAAAATCATTCTTTGCTCCGTGCTCTTCTGGCATCTTTTTTTTTTTTTTTTTTTTTTTTTTTTTTTTTGGAGTCTTTTAGTCTTCGTTCGTCATTGGTCCTTGGTCCTACCGGCGTTCTTACATCGAAGATACGTTTGGTATCCGCGAACATCGCAATGAGGAACAGGTATATCTACATCGAGATTCCCTCCCTTTTTCGTTCGTCCCTGGTCCTTTTAGTCTTACCGGCGTCTCTTGCATCGAAGAAGACGTTCGGTACCCAAGGAACTCGCAGGGACGAACTGGTTTACCCTCACGGGTTCCCGTCTTTGTTATCCCACGTCCATCGATCCATGGTCATTTGTGGGATAAACAGGTTTATCTTGGCAGGCTCCCTTGGTTCGTCTAGCCCCCTCCACGTCTCTACTAACCTCTACATCGAGAGGCGTTCGTCTTCGGCGGTGGGGGAAGATCTGGCACACCCGGGCAAGATTCCCTTCCGCATAGGAGCTACCCTCCTCTTCTCCCTTTTTTTTTTTTTTTTTTTTTTTTTTTTTTTTTTTTTTTGAGGGAGGTAATCTATGGTCTTCGTTCGTCCTTGGTCCTTGGTCCTACCGGCGTCCCTACTTCGAGGAGACGTTCGGTATCCGCAGACATCACAAGGAGGAACAGGTTTATCTGCATCGAGATTCCCTGGTGCTTCGTTCGTCCTTGGTCCTTGGTCCTACCGGCGTCCCTACTTCGAGGAGACGTTCAGGTATCCGCAGACATCACAAGGAGGAACAGGTTTATCTGCATCGAGATTCCCTAGCTCTTCTTAGTCCGTCCCTGGTCTGTGGTCCTACCGATCTTCCTACATCGAAGAAGACATGCGGTATCCAAGAAACTCGCAGGGATCACGGGATGTCACACATAATAGTGGTGGCATAGCGAACGAATATAATGACGAGGCGATGGAGACGCTGGTCGTCATGCGAAGGCGATGGTCACCCTCCTGAAGGGAGGGGTGAGCCCGATCGCTAACTCAAGAAGGTCGGCATTGGGAGCCGATATACAATGATCATAATGTCGCTGAGCAGTCGGTCCTGATAACGGAGATGGCAATAGTGTCCAGTCAGGCCGATATATCCGAGCAACGGCTCTCATCCAACGCAGCGCGGGGATGAAACCGGTCTTCAAAAGATAAATATGTCGTGCTGAGAGGCCGAACATAACATGACAGTGTCGGCAGTGAGAGGCCGACCCGAAAGAATCAAACAACGGTCCTTGTCCGCGGGGTGGCGGGGACGAGGCCGGTCTTCAAGAGATAAGCACGCCGAGCCGAGAGGCCGGTCGTGGTATAATGGTGTCGGCAATGAGCGGCCGATCTGAGAAAATCAAGCAACGGCCCTCGTCCGCGAGGGCGGGGACGAGGCCGGTCTTCAGAAGATAAGCACGCCGAGCCGAGAGGCCGGTCGTGGTATGACGATATCGGCAATGAGAGGCCGATCTGAGAAACAAGCAACGGTCCTCATCCGCGCAGTGCGGGGACGAGGCCGGTCTTCAAATATGAACACGCCGAGCCGAGGGGCCGGTCGTGGTATGATACTGTCGGCAATGAGATGCCGATCAAGATATGGTCAAGCAACGGTCCTCGTCCGCGAGGTGGCGGGGACGAGGCCGGTCTTCGAATATGGTAATCACGCCGGTCCGAGAGGCCGGTTGTGATATAATGATGTCGGCGATGAGAGGCCGAACATGATGTGGCAGTGTCGGCAATGAGGGTCGACCTGCAATCCAGCAACGGCTCTCATCGGCGCAGTGCGGGGACGAGGCCGGTCTTCAAAAGATAGGCACGCCAAGCCGAGAGGCCGGTCGTGGTACGACGGTGTCGGCAATGAGAGGCCGACCTGAAATCAAGCAATGGTCCTCGTCCGTGCAGTGCGGGGACGAGGCCGGTCTTCAAATAAGATAATCACGCCGTGCTGAGAGGCCGGTCGTGATATAATGATGTCGGCAATGAGAGGCCGACCTGAAATCAAGCAACGGTCCTCGTCCGTGCAGTGCGGGGACGAGGCCGGTCTTCAAATAAGATAATCACGCCGTGCTGAGAGGCCGGTCGTGATATAATGATGTCGGCAATGAGAGGCCGACCTGAAATCAAGCAACGGTCCTCGTCCGTGCAGTGCGGGGACGAGGCCGGTCTTCAAATAAGATAATCACGCCGTGCTGAGAGGCCGGTCGTGATATAATGATGTCGGCAATGAGAGGCCGACCTGAAATCAAGCAACGGTCCTCGTCCGCGCAGTGCGGGGACGAGGCCGGTCTTCGAATATGGAAAGCACGCCGAGCCGGGAGGCCGGTCGTGGTATGATGATGTCGGTGGTGAGAGGCCGGCTTGAAAATCAGGATGGTCTCACGGCCCTCGGCCGTGATGGTCTCCTCTAGGCCCTCGGCCTCTGAGTGATGGATGATCGCCTCACGGTCCTCCGCCGTGGTAGTCCACTCTAGACCCTCGGCCTCTAGGTGTTCTTCCTAGGCCATCGGTCTCTGGGGTGGAGATGCTCGTCCAACGGTTCTCAACCGTGGTGGTCTCTTCTAGGCCCTCGACCTCTGGGTGTTCTTCCTAGCCCATCGGTCTCTAGGGTGGAGATGCCCGTCCAACGGTTCTCAACCGTGGTGGTCTCCTCTAGGCCCTCGACCTCTGGGTGTTCTTCCTAGCCCATCGGTCTCTGGGGTGGAGATGCTCGTCCCACGGTTCTCAACCGTGGTGGTCTCCTCTAAGCCCTCGGCCTCTAGGTGGAGATGCTCGTCTCACGGTCCTCAGCCGTGATGGTCTCCTCTTTAGCCGGCCCTGCATGTCCTCAAGACTCGGGCCGAGCGTCTTCTAATCATTTCGCTCGATCACGTCGAGCGGCTTCAGCTGCGCAATAAGCATGGTAACGGGCCGCACGGCCCGACAATATGTATACACACATAACCATCTGCATGGCTTTCTCTTTAACATCCACGATTACCGGCCTATGGGTCATCGTGACCCTCGGCCCGGCTCATCGTGCGTGGTTAATGGACGTAGCAGCTCGCGGCGGGGCCAATCAGCAGCCCGCCGAACGTCACATAGAGATATTCAACGGTCCGTGAGTTTTCAAACTCAGACCCAAGTTGGTCGCACCGCCCTCGGAAACACGAGGCCGAGCGCTTTGGTGCCCTCGGGGCCCCACAGGCCGCGTCTGGCAAAAGTCACTTCGCGCCTAATGGCGTAGATGATATTGGGGTACGATCGCCGATCGGGCACGTAGTGCCGTGCGGACCAACGTACAACCCTCAAATTAAAATGCGTCGTCGGGGCATCGCCCTACTGGAGACGCTCGGATCGCTTAATCAAGCTGATCGAGAGTGGGCTAACGGGCCCACAAGAAATTAAATATTCAATAAAATGTTGGCTGAACCAACCATCACTAGAGCTTCGCTCCACATTATTTAATTCGGGACATTTTATCCCTAATAAATAATAGTGATATAACAGGTAATAGCAATGATGTTATCCTATCAAAGGCCATTCCGGTATGCTCCGCCCGCTAATTAAAGCCGATCAGGAGTGGGCCCACAGGCTCACAACAACCAGTCATTAAATTTAAATGACGGTGAAACTAATTATCACGTAGAGCATCGCTCTCATTATTTAATTTCGGGAATTTTAATCCCTAATAAATAATGGTGATAAAAATACTAGGAGCAAGAAAATTACTCTATACTATCAATAAATAATGTACCAACTTAATGGATGGGTACTTAGCTTTATGGAGGTTCGGCCATGTGATGCCATGTAGTAGTGAAAAATGAGCTACTTGAGTATCTTCCCCCGTCTTGACTTGGTCAAAGCTCCTCCCATAAAGTTGGTCCCCCATTGCTAGGCCTTAGACTTGCGGACGTGGTCTGCCTTAGACCAAGGCATTGTATACGGAGCATATCATTTAGACAAGGCAGGTGGAGCACCCTCCTACCAATCCGGACGCAGTTCGTACTTGCCGACCACTTTCTGTCGGTAGAGATGGTGGTCGCGGCAGAGCAAGGACAGCCCGAGCAGCTAGTCTCTAGTACCTTCCGTGAGCTATACACCACTGTTAACGGCCGGAATCCCAGAACTCCCAGCCGGGAGGTACCTCGAGTCACGTCGGCAGGGTGGTGGAGGCTCTCACGGCCTCAGAGCAGGTGGTGGAGTGGCCTGCGGTTGGTGAGCAACTGTGTTGCAGGTGTTGCGGGATCTGGAGTGCTGCAGCGGCTTCGTTGGCTGCAGGTGAACACAGTGGAGGGTCCACGGCGGTCGGGGATGGTGACGGCGGCGTGGTGATGCTCTGGCGGCGGAGTTGCTCCGGCGAACAGGAGCGAGGCGCGAACCTGCGACCGTCGCCCAGTCACGCTGTAGATGACGAGCAGCTAGGAGAGCCCGAAACTGGTTTCCTCAGGTCGCTGGTCCACCGGACCGATCCCCGTCCACAGTTGCCTTCCCCGACCAACAGAGCTTTGCACCGGAATTCCTCTTCTTCTCTGATCTAGAACTCCTCAGAATTCTTCTTTCCAGGATATCTTTTTCTCCTTTTTTGTTGAAATCAGTCCTACTGGTATCAATTTTTGTGTATAAACTCAAGAACAGTAGAAACACATGAATCTTTTTGGACAGATTCCCACAGACGGCGCCAGTGTTGAGTTTAATCCAACACGATATAGTAAATATATGTATAAATGTGTATGAACAACTCAGTTTTTACGTGGAAACCCGAAAGGGAGAAAACCACGGGACTTTTTAGGCTAATGTCCAAGCCCTCTCAATTCTCATTAGGCTCTCCTCACCATTACATTATACAAGCTTGAAGCTCCCATTAATGGAGTATTATCTAATCTAGAGAAGAAGAAGCATGAAGAAGGAGGAAAAAGGTCCTTTACATGGAGGCTAAGCTCCGTATTTATAGGGGAGGGGAAGGGGAGGCTCTCCACCCTAATGGGCCGCATGGGCCGAAGTGGGCCTGGTGGTCAAAGTGGGCCGGATGGGCCGAAATGGGCCTAGCTGCTCGGGCTCCATACTGGATAATGTCTTGGGCTCCTGAACAGTAATAGGCCGGGATAATATATCCCAACACAATTAAATAGGGATATCCCAATATGATAAAACAGGACATTTAAAAGGGAACGAAGGAAGTAATAGTTAAATGATCGTCACATTAAACTACAAAATTATTAGTTATGTTTTAACAAATAAGTCTTAATTGAGTATTATTTTCGAAAGAAAACCTCATTCAAAAATACATTTGATAACATGTAAAATACAAAAAAGATGGAAGCGGTTTGGTAGACAGTAGACTAGAACTGTACCAGAAATCGCTATTACCCAACACTAGTCACAGTTCCCAGGTGGGGGATGGACCGTTGCAGAACCATCCCACGCACGTCCACCCCTAGATCACCTAACTTGAGTAATGACATTTAATATACATTCACAAAGAATTTGTTATCCTCAAGTCATAACTTCTTTAATCAGCTAAAAGGCTGGAAAGGAGCGATATACAAATGATGAAACAATACACACATGAAATGCTTAAGTGGAGACTATGAAAATGAGATCAGGGAAAGGGTTGAGACTATGACAGCAAATTCACCATGAATTGAAACACTACATTTGACAGGCAGAATAAAATTAAAAACAAAACGGGAATGCTAAAGTGGGAATCTCAAACAGAGCAGCAATTGACATTCTTTAGAGCAGAAACATCACTCTTGCCAACGTCTATAGATTGCCCCTTTGGTGGGGCTGCCGGATCATCCCCAACCTCAAGTGCTTTCCGACTAATCACATGATATATCTGAGTTAATACTTCTGTGAAGGCATTCTCGACATTCAATGACTCGAGAGCTGATGTTTCCATAAAGTAGGTCTTCTCTCTTTCTGCAAAGGCCTTTGCATCCTCCGTAGAAACAGCTCGTAGGTGACGTAGGTCAGCCTTATTTCCCACCAGCATTATGACAATATTCTGGTCAGTGTGGTCTCTAAGCTCTTTTAACCATCTTGCCACATTTTCAAATGTCACGTGACGGGTAACATCATATACAAGCAAAGCCCCTACAGCCCCTCGATAGTATGCACTTGTAATGGCACGGTATCTATCATGTTTCACCGAAAATAGACAGAAACAGATGGAATATGGTCAATCTCCATGCATCTAGTCATAATAATAATGACACTAACTCTAGCACTAAAAAGGTAACACTTTGGCAGTTCAACAATAAAAGAGGTTGAAAAACGGGACATGGCCTGTTATCTCTATAAGCAACAAAGTGCAATTTGAAGTCCAATTGTAAAATAAACTAAAGGTGAAGGAGAGGTGATGAAAGAAAGTCTAAGTAAAGAGAGTAACAAAATATTAGGGCAGTTGAAAGGTAAAAGTTGAGAAGACAGTACTGAAAGGAACATCATCTTGCAAAAAAATGATAAAATGAATCCAAAGACCTTAAATTAGATACAAAAATGTCTTGTATACTACTCAGTAATGAATTTTTCCACATTTAGTGTTTGAGACTATTTCTCCATCATTTACAATGACGCCAAAGACTCACTATTTTTTTGGCTTGGGAACATGATGGAATAAAACAAAATGACTCATTAAACTGCACACGCTTCTTTGTTATGAAACAGCAGCCACTGCATGCAAATTTTTGGCACGAATTTCACCATGGGTCATACGGAAAAGTCTATTTGTGCTTTAGTACAAATGTAAGACTGCATACATTTGACCCCCCTTACCCCACCTGAGGTGGGAGCCTTTATGGCACTAGGGTAATATTGTTGATGATCTTGAGACCATTGCGTGTAATGTCACTTTTAGTATTCGTCATAGTTTTTTCGCCATTTAGTCATTCGCATATTGTGAAATCCACACATTTTTGAATTTTTCAACACAAATTGGAGCAACAAATGTGTCACTATAAGAATAACAGACCGGTAAAAATGGATAATAAAAAATTGTATAAAAATGATTCAGTCCCAATAAGTAGCGGATTAGCAGTGGACAAACAAAGACAGGTACTGCAAAAGCATCATTGTATCAATAGCTAGAGGATTAAAAGTGCAAAAACCTTGCTTGGTAAATCACGAAAGCCAAAAACTGCAGGCACACTTAAAGCCAACTTAGCTAATCTTCAATTATTAAATTGGTTGATCACTGTCGCACATTTTTGCATGGCAAAATTGGAACCCATTTGGTAACACGAAAGTTGGTTAAATATACTTGACTGGCTGAATGATTGTTGAATTATAAAATAAAGAAAAAAACTTATGAAAACAGCCATAACTGTCTTCTTTAGTAAATTCAGCCAGTTTTGTAAAACAAAACTGCCTCATAAGGAAGGCTAATAAGCCAAAAAACATGGATTACCACTTGGTGTAAACTACATTACATTGTTGCAAAAAAAAATTATGAATTTGACCACCAAATATACTGGGTTATTCAAAATTCTCAGAAACCTTCCAAAATGAAGACTCAGAATCCTTCTACCAATGTTGTTCTTTTAAATAAGAAACCTCATAATGACTTGTTTCTAAACAACAACTCTTCTCATCAAACATGCATATATTTGGAAAATTATACTTATATTAACAAACCACATCACAGCTAGCAGTAATGAGATAAACTAAAACAATAGATACAACAAAACTCAACAATTCCACCAAAGCAGTGACTTCCAAATTCAACAGACTCATCAGTTATCTCCATTCAAGATCGAACCATCATATAGATTGATCCGCACATTTCCAAAAACGAAAACCAAATAGAGCAACTGTATAAAAACCCTAGATTTATCATCACTACGCTCAAGTATCCTACAATCAAACCATATCGTTTCTGCTGTTTAATTTCTCCAGCAACCCTGTAGCTAAAATTACGTGGAGCGTGAATGGAGAAAGCAAGAGAACGGAAGTAAGTACCTTTCTTGGCCGGCGGTGTCCCAAATCTGAGCCTTGACGACCTTGTCGTCAACACGGATGCTGCGAGTGGCGAACTCGACACCAATGGTGGACTTTGACTCGAGGTTGAACTCGTTCCGAGTAAATCGGGACAGCAGATTTGACTTTCCGACGCCGGAGTCGCCTATCAGCACTACCTTGCACAGGTAATCGTAATCATCGTCTGATCTAACATACCCACCGGCCATCTGTATATGTATATATCTACACAGTGCAATCTGTGATCCAGTATATCTACTGCGTAGTTTTAAATTTTTGGGAGTAGTAAACGGCAACTAAAAATTATGCTTCAGTGGGCAGTGCGATTTGGGGGAAGATCAAAGCGGAAACGAAAAGGTGAGCTGTCGCCGAAAGTGAGAAGAGAGACGGTGGAAAATTGGAAATTATTTTATTGCTGTGAATTGAAAATGAGAAATGCCGTTTCCTTTTTATTTTCAAATTTTCCTTCAGCCGTAAGGTTCTCCTCGTTTGATTTTAAACGGATTTTATATACTACTCCCTCCTCCGTTCCCAAAAATACTTCTCACTTTCTTTTTTGGGTTGTTCCCAAAAATTTTTCTCACTTATCCTTTTTGGACAATTTGTATGGCTCACATTTATTTTACATTTTTCTTACACAACTACAATCACACATTTCCACTTTTTTCTCCTTTCTTAATAAGCGTGCCAAGTCAAACCGGGAAGAATTTTTAGGAACGAAGGTAGTAAATAGTAAATATTGAAATTGTCCTAAATAGAACTAAAATTTGAGTTTTTTCCAGAAGAATGCTAAATAAATAAATAAATAATTTCTAAAATATTGCTGAATTAAAAATAATTCCCAAAATATTGTTGGAGTTAACCACGATTAACAAAAGCCGTCACTTCAAGTGGCGACTCTACAAAAGTCGTCACTCGAAGTGGCGGCTCTCCTCTTGTAGCACAAAAGTTGTCACTTCATGTGGTGGCTCATTAATTCACAATTGTATCCCCTTTTCTTCCCAAGCGACGAATGAAGACCTCAGAAGCAGACAGACGAACGCAGAATAAGAGGACCAGTGTCTGATTTCGGCCAGAACTCGTCCAAACGAAGCTCAAATCAAAGTGAAAAGAGTGACGGTGTACCCAAGGTCGTTTGTGCTCCATTCTGCCGACTTTCTACCGTTTGAATCGAGGTATTTCACCATTGTTGCTAAACCTAGGTTTTTTTAATTTGTTGTTTGAAATTACTTTTTTTTAATTATTTTCTTTCTATTTGATGTTGTGAAATATATAAGTCCTTAATCTTGTTATTATGATTTAATTTATATAATTTGTAAAATTTGAATTATTTGTTGTGTTGGTTGGATTGAGTTTGATATATGGGTCGTTTGAAAAAGAGTAATGTAGGACATTATTAATATGTATCTATCTGATTTTTTAATTGAATGAAATCATAAAAATGATCATATGATTTAATACAATTCGTTTGAATTAGTAGTTGAATTTTCCTAGTGCACCATAAATCATAGTTTTCTGGAATGATTTTTTGGTAGAATATGTCTCCAAACTTCCCCATTGTTTGTCATTGAGGAGAAAATATTATCGAGGAGTCAAACAGAATTCATTATGAAGGCGGGAGTCGAAAGATAATTGTTGTTTCCTGTAGGGTGGGTGTGACTGAGTTAATGGATAAAATTTATATAGCCACATCCATCAATCGTATGACCAAGTTGGATTTGAAAGTTAAATATCCCATTCATGATGGATCATACATGTTGATGCCTCTTACTGACGACGAAGCCGTTACGGGAATGTGGACTTTAATCACGAATATATTTTTTACTCCAGGGGGTCCGGGGGAGGGGGGGCTGGGGAGAGTCTGGAGTAATCAGGGCTGAAACTCACTCCATTGAGTTTCCAACCCTTGTGTGCCTAGCAGGATTCGAACTCGAGACCTCCCACTAGGCACGAATCTTCATATGCATATCATGGAGATATGTAGAAGAAGCGATTTTGTTGCCCATACAACCTGAGAACCCGTCATTATCTTCCCCATCCACAGGTGTTCCAGTTGTGATGAATATGGTCACATAGGAGAACGGAAGATACGTAAACAGTGATGCAACGTTTCTGGATTAACAATGCACTGACGACG